CCCCGTGACCACAAAGATCTGTTCTTTGTGTACGGCGATACCAAACAGGGAGCGGGCCGTCTCCAGAGGAGCCAGGTCCTTCCACTCAAACTTTTTGGGGTTGTAGACACAGACCCTTCTCATGCATTTCCTACATGAATCATTTAAAACAGTGTGTTAAAGGGGCTAGTTTATCTTATAGATGAAGTTCAGTTTACTTATCACAAAGAGTAACACTCATTCTGTAAACAGTTATAAACAGTGGAAAAAACAACCCTGATAATGTCATAAACTGAGGGTGTGGAATTGAAAAGAGAAGGGGCCGTTTATATAAAATACCTAAAGGATTACAATCTGTTGTATCTGAAGTAATACTTTTACAAATTGAGGATTGAGCAACATAGAATAAATTACAATACATTAAGGTTTTGGTTTTAAAAAAGGCACAAAAACTAGCATTCTTATTGGTTACATGGAACCACAGTGTGAAAATACAATCCTGAGGTGTAATAAAATACTGTGCCACATACTTGCTTTCAGATTTCCCTCCAATGACGTAGACCAGACCGTTGTGTGAGACGGTTCCATGGCCGTACACTTGGTAAGGAAGAGGGTCAGACTCTCCCCATTTGAATGACCTGTGCACAACAAAAGAATATGCATCATCTTGAAGTAATCCTTAATACAATTATTGATGATAATGAAGTGAATCTACAGACTCATGCAGCAATAATACTGATAAGAAATGATGACGAGGGAGATCTTCAGGAATTCAATAACTAACTTTGTGGCACAAAAAAGCATCTACAAAATTTGATAGATTTGGATTTTTCATAAAAACTCAAAGGTTAAGTTTAAAGTTTAGACATTTATACAACTTTTGAGACTAAAAGAGCCAATCATTCTGCCGAAAAATTCATTTTGATGGCTTTACATGGTTTACACAGGACAATGATGCAGCATTTTACATCTATAGAAATAATGCTTTTATTGTTAAAATGAGAGTGATTGTATTACACTCTCTGATGATTTAAAAGGAGGCTTGATTGCTGATTAATAAGAAACATTTCCTGAAAAGGCTTCCCTTGAAAAAAAAGTGTTTTCATTTAGACCATGGATTTAAAGAAGATCCCTATCCACACTTACTGTCTGTCGTAGATGCTGACTGAGTCCAGGGCGTGCTCTCCATCCTTCAGCTCCTTTCCCCCAACAACGAAGATGGAGTTCTCAGCTTCAGTCAGGCCGAACAGACAGCGAGGGTTGGGTTGAGAAGGCATCCCTAACCATTCTGAACTCACTGGGTCAAACTGGGGATGAAGACAATGATATGTGAGGATTGAGGAACAAGGAAATAGAATTTGACCTTTTTTTTCAGGTTACAAAACACATCATACCTGCAGGAAGTAAGAGCTGAACGGTTCATCTTTGTCCTCCTCGTTGTAGATAAGTCCTCCGACAACAAACACCTGGTTCTCCTTGGTCACCAGGCTGCAGTGGTTCTTGGGAATTTTTGTCGACTCTGAGGCCACAAAGCATTCATTTCCTACCGGGTCATAGGCCACAGTACCTTTGTCACTGATCATTAGTATCAGTTCCAGCTCAAACATTCCAAAGCGAGGGTTGTTGTTGAGTATACCCGGCAAGTACCCTTCTTCCTCATCGTCCTCCTCCTCGCTTTCTTCTCCCCCCTTTGCCTCGTCACTTTCAAGCTTCTTGGGTTTTGGGAGACGCCCTTTGTAAGCATCCTTGACCAGATCCAGCTCCTTCTTGATGTCCTGGCTGAACCGCAGGAACTGGTGACGCTCTACTTTCTCTTTGAAGTAATCCGGAGCTATGAGCCTGAAACGGATGCAGTGCAAAAGCTCTGGAAGGTCCTTAACACGGTTAGTCTCGTCATGTTTGACCCAGTCCATTAGAGATTCAAACACCAGCTCCTCCCGCTCAATGTTGAGGGCGTCTGAGGTGATGATGATGGCCAGCTCGCTCGCGCCCAACTGATGGAAGTCCTGGTCTCTGACAACCATCTGGTAGCGTTCACAGATGAAGTCTCTAGCATTCAGAGCAAGCCTGGGACAATCCAGCAGCAGTCCCAGCCTGAAGATAGCCAAGCAGTTTCCCAGAACCAGCTTCTCTTGGAGGTAAGACACACATACAGAGAAGATTGAGGGTATCTGGTACATGTTAGCAACCATGAAGATATCCTGGACGTTCTGTTCTGTCAGATTAATGTCAGAGGTGTATAAGTAGCGCAGGATCATCTTAATGACACTTGGCTCCACATCTTTGAGGACAATCTCACGCTTCTTGCTCTCCTCCAGTTCGGACAGGAACATGGCCTTGAAGAAAGGGCTGCTTGCGGCCAAAACCAAGCGGTGGCAGGGGAACTCTTCCTCCTGAATTTTGAGGACGCAGTCCACAAACCTTTCATTCTCCAAGAGGTCACTCAATCCGTCCTGAAGCAGACTCTGTTGGTACATCCGAGGCTGCTCCACCGGGTCTATAGTCTGGGCCGCCATTTTGTTCTGTCGACCTAATGCTGGTTGGGTTTCGTGGGCACCCTACTCGCTCCCCACCACAGAGCAGGACTGTCAGCGTGCACAGGGCGGCTCGGATCACTGGGGACAGTCTCAGTGGGTTGGTTGGCTGGTGGCTGCAGCTGCCTGTGGCTGTCAGTCACTGTAAGTCAGGGGTATTTATAGACAGGACCCTCACAAAGCTGAGGAATCCATTTTGGTGGACCTATCCACTTCTGCACCACACAGACCCCCACAAAAACAGCTGAATGACTAAGCACAGAGGTGTGTTAAATCCAGCAGAACAACTCAGCAGGCCGTCTTGCTGACTTTTATTACTGTGATATTTTCACAAAGTTTCACACAATTGTATTTGTACAATTGTGTTGTTTTCTGAAAGCCTGTGACTTGTTAATTCACTGTTCACCTTTATCATTGACATCCCCATAAACCTCCCTCAAGTTAAAAAGCTAGTGACACACTTCATGTTCCACATTAGTTGGGGTGTTACTTCTTATTATTTAACAGGTGATGTACTCTACATGTCCTTTCATTTAAATAATTAAAAAGTGGCTCTTTATAAAAATAACAAAACAATTTGAAAATGTGAGTTGCGACAATAAGTCGATCAACAGAAACTAATCATTTTGGTTATCTACTAAAGTGCTCGAGCTTCCAAAAGTTACAGTTTCCAGCCTCTCAAATATGGAGACTTTCTTTTTTCTGTTGTATATTGTTAAAACAAATTGCATACATTTTTGAATTGACAAAAAAAGACATGGGGAAGAAATGTAGGAGTATTTCTGACATGTTGTAGACTAAATAAATTGATTGACCAAGCAAAGAATGGGCAGACTAATTGATAACAAATATAAACATGACTTAATAATTGAACCAAACATTCATGGTATAATTGTTCAAATATGATTAAAACAGCAGGTTCATACAACATTTTTCATTATCAAATCAATCCTCTTTTAGATAAAAGGTCTCATTATTGATAACACATCAAATGAATAAAGATTATGAAGCATGCTCAAACATGTTCTATATATATATGGAATATGTGTAACCTCGTTTAATACATGCCTCCAGAATGATAAACGACACTGTCACCTATTGGCTGAAAATGAGAAGAAGATATTGGGATAAATGAATTGCACCACTTTCCCTCATACAGTACATACACAGGGAATAGTTTCTGTTATGTGTAATTCTTGCCATATAATTAACTTAATAATAAATGTAAGCTACTCTGTTTACTAAAAAGTTTACTTAGAGGACAAGACCATTGGAATAAGTTGATCAAACATACTGTAAGAGTTTCATATGAAGAGATATGTCGCCTGTACACTCTTTGTAAAGGCCAAATGCAATTTAACACAAAGTTATATGCTGCTCATGGTGAAAAATAGAAAAGCAAAGGTGAAAGGAATAACATTAATTAAAGTGCTGCCCGGCTTATCTGTGACAGCACCCAAGAGCGAGTCAGTTTGAAGGTCACAATTAGTGTTATTTATTGCACCTGAGCATTTCTTGCAAACTGTAAATTGAGCAGCATGTTAAACCGGGCCTATATGATAATGTATGGGTGACCTGAATTGCTACATAAAAGCGTATACCTTTATATGGTGCCTACAATACTAAGATATCCAGTTATTAATACGCAGCTATGGATAGATGCAACACAGTGGTTTAGCATAGGTAAGCTAGCTCAAAATTCATTGGACTATCATCGATGTGCAAATTAAATATGTTGTTTTTATCTTTGGTCAAAATATGTTGGATTTATGGAACTTTTCTGTATATATTTACTTTTTTTTTTAACACACTGACGTTTAAAACAATCAGTTAGCACTACTGGAAAAGTAGTTCTCTGTTGAAGATGATGTAAATCACATGATGTCACCTACAACATGCACTTATTTTCATAGAAGGAAAAGCACAGGTGTTACTATTTCCATGAATGAGTCCCAGGAAACAATGACAATGAGCAGCAAAATACCAGCATCTACTGTGACATGAAAAAGGATTATATGGTTAAGGCTACAATTGTTTCACCATCCTAAACTGGAGAGTAAGGTAGGTGCCAATCATGTTCAGATAGTGCTTTTTAAGCAAACTAAGTGGAAGTAAATAAAGGAGTCCAATGGAGATGTTTCAGGTAGGGAGAGAACCGCGCTTCAAATGTTGGGATTCAAGCCTTTGCAGACCATTTGCCTATATAAAGGGAAGACCCCAAAAAGCATAATAGGGCCCCTTTGATCCAACATGTGTTAATCTCAGTCAGTGAGCAGCGTTGGTCAAAGTGGGCCATCTTGTGGCCATAGATTACATTGTCTCACTTTAAACCCAATGCTGTCTTTCATGACTTATTATAGAATTTAATAAGAAATGATTTAGAATAAATTGAATGTTTTATTTTACTATGCTTATCCGTCAATGCAAACAACAAAACTATATTTAGTTTTGTCTCTATACAACAAAAAAACAAACTGATACTTGTGTCCCTTTTGGATTAACCAAAACTTTATTTCAAGTCAAACATTCGAAAATGAACACTTTTGAGTAAAAACCCTAAAAGAAAAGGCATTACAATGTTTTTTCTCTGGCTGCTACACTAGAGACAGACAGAAAGCAGGTTTTGGTGACAGGCAGGATAAGAGTGACGCATTTTCCCTCCCGGGCCTATTGCCTTTCATAGTGAGCTGAGGGGCCTGGGTCATGTGGAAGAGGGTGGAGGGGAGATATTCTTAAATGTCACACCGACAGTAATCTCCTGCATGGTGGTCGTTCTCTGGACGGTTTAACTACATTCAACTCTTCAACATGACAAAAGATCTAAAACATTCTCAACCAACCTTCAAAATAGACTTTCCTATACATTATACTATTATCTTTGCTTTGTGAAAGTAGAGCAAAAATACAATCAGCTGCAAGCTATGTGCAGGACGTCGACAGCACCATTTATGTCATATCTTCATTGCAGTCCATTTGTGGCACTCTGATTTCAAGTTTTTAAAGTTTTTAACCCTTACAGTATGGTAAACAATTGTCTTAATGAGGATCTGAGGCGTTTAAGGCAAAATAAGACACTATTTAACAAAAAATAATCCTATTGATGATGGTTAAAGAAAGAAAACAGTGATTATATCAACATTTGAGAGAAATCTAAAGTGAGAACAGGAGAAAACAACAGAAGTTGTTCCTGCATGTTTTTATACCTTGAGGTGTACTATCGTTAAATATTTAGCAGGCCTAAAACATTCTCTTGTTCGGATGAAATACAAAATGCACCATTGTTGGATTTGTGCCAAAGGACGTGGTGATTATCTACAGCAAGTGCACTTGAGGAGATTTGACAATTCCAAACTTTGCTTCACTCCTGACAAAAACACAGGCTTTGTAAACAATACATACAGGTGCCGACTAGTTGTTACACTCGGGTTAGGTTTAGTTCACAAGGCCGAGCATGGAACAGTGTGAGTGGGCTGTTCACCGTGAAGTCTGTGACAGTTTTCTATCAGTTCATTCCGCTTTTTCTTTCCCCCCATCTACTGCCTTCACCGGCTCGGGATCCTCCAGCAGGGCTTCTTTTCTCTCTCTTTCCTTCACCAGCTGCACGCCACAGTAGGTCACAAGTAACACTGAGAGGGTGGACAGAGGAAAACCTGGAAGAAAAACACAAAGAAGGAAAGATAAAGGATTTATCTCTGTCATCTGTTGATAATCCTGTGAACAACCTCTACCATATTCTGGTGTTATTAAACATTCCTGTATTCTATGTGAAAGAAAGCAACAAAGAAGAGGTTAAGTCATTTGATATCTGGAGGATGACGCCGCCCCCTGAGACTCTGTTGCTTTTGATGTCCGTCTCGCTTTCAATAGAACTGACAGAAGAGCCTCAGTATGTTTCTACATAATACGCTCTCGTTGTTCCATACCTTTGAAAATCAGTCGTCTTCCCACCAGTTTGGCGAACTCCAAACTGTTCAGGGAGAGGACGTTGTAGAGGATAATGGTCCAGAAGTTGGCAGCGTTGAACACACCCCGGATCCTGCGTGACATGGCTCCACCCATAAAACCCTATATTTACAGGGGAAACAGGTTCAAAATTACGCAGAGCATCATACCTATATTGACTATAGGGACTTTTATCTGGATGTTTCCTACCTCAATGGTAGAAAGTGGTGGCAGGGAGAACAACTTGGCCACCCACAGCTCAAAGTTGAGGCCAAAGCAGTTGAAGAAGGACCAGATGTAAACCAGCTGACACGGGCCCAGCCACAGCGTGGTGATTGCGAAGGTGCAGATGGTTGCCAGGAGCTCCTTGAAGATTTTATCGTGATCCCCGCCAATGTAGTCATAAACATACCTGCAAAATAATAGTTCAAAATTAAGTGGATAGAGAACCAAAATCGTCCTCCATGAACATTAGGTTTTGTAAAGCTAGAGTAAATGTGTTGTTATTAAGAAGAAGAAGAAGATGGACCTTTATTAATCCCCCGAGGGGAAAATTCAGTTTCCACTCTGTCGTGCACACACATGCTTTTTTATACAGGTAATACAGTACACACAGTACACACATTGTACAACATGCACATACAAAATACACACACAGTTATATGCACACATACACATGCATTTGAGTGGTCAGAGCCGAGGCAGCCAGTCTAGCCGGCACCAGTGAGCAGTTGGGGTTAGGTGCCTTGCTCAAGGGCACTTCGGCAGTGGCCAAGGAGGTGAACTGGCTCCTCTTCAGTACCTACCAGTCTGCACTCCGTATTCTTTTGGTCCAAAGTCCGATCCCCTACAGACTGAACTACTGCAAACTGCAAACTACATAACCTAAGGAACCCACATCATGCTAGCTAGTCACAAAGGAGGCTAAATTGGATCCAAAGTTCGAGGTGGCAAAACATTTTTTAGACAGAACTGCTCACCATCCAATGGCAGAAGAATGCCAATTTTGGAGAATTCTCCCAATGTTTAAACTCATTGATACACAATTCCTCCATGGTCTTGGTGTGAATGTGGTATTTTGGAGGGACAACGCTTATTAGTTCCTGAATGGTAAATGTTTTCTTTTTTTAGGACCAAATCTGTGCCAATGGTCATCATTTACTTCCGTCATAATGTTCTAAGCCCTTATGCAGATGTATGACTAGACCTGTATCTCAAATTAATCTTCAGGTTCCTACTTTTTAGATGTTGTATTGTACATACATTCTTCACCAGCTATTCCCCAATAATGATCCCTTATCCCTCTAAAAAAAAAGAAAACATTGTATGGTAGGGAGGTCACCGGGGAAGAGATTTAACACACTTACCTGCACAGCCAGTCGTTGATGCCTCTGTCAAAGTGCCTAGAAAAAGGAGAAATAATCCACATTAACACTTATACACAATTTCAAGGTTAATCAACGTCACCAAAGAAAGAGAAATAGCGCTTACGTCTCAGCGAAGACATAGAGCATGGTGATACATTTAGGAGGCTGAGGAGGGTCCAGGTGGTCCAGTCTAGCCACAGTGTTGATGACACCAAACATTATGGCTGCCTTCACCCAGTCATACACCAGGTTGGAATAAGCCAGACCAGCTGGGTACACATGGAAACAAAATAAGATAAGATAAGATAAGATGGACCTTTATTAATCCCCGTGGGGAAATTCAGTTGCAAGGAGAGTGTTGGTGAACTTTGATACTGTATATCCATTAAGTTAAAAAGAGCCAATATTAGAGATTAGCTCCTCATCATATATATGCTCACCCAGACACCAGTCAGAAAGCTTGGCGACCAGCTTCATGTCACTGGGGATGGTCAGGATGTAGAGGTAGTGGAAGAAGACGTCCACCACCAGAATAATTCCCAGATGCAGCAAAGCCTTGGTGGTGATGTTCCACATCTCCCTTTCCTTGCGCGTCAGCTGGGTGTTGTTCACCTGTGGAATTAAAAACACAAACCATCATGGTTGGAATAAGGGTAAGAACATACTGATATTCAAAATCTAAACATAGTTATATCGACTCAATTCATTGTGTTTGGTTATTACATTAGCCTTTAGGAGTTTTCTAAAACAATTTGCCCTCATGAGTGATGGCTTTAATAACTACTGTCAGATTTCAAATGGCGGCTCACTTTTCCACTTTGACTTTGACTCTTAAATCCTCACCTGGGCATGAAACTTGTCGAAAGTCATGATGGGTCCGAAGAAGAAGAAGGGGAGGTAGAAGTTGTATCTCAGCAGGTCACAGAAGGTGTAGTTGCCCTCCTTCTTATCGCAGTTCTCCAAAGCAAAGCTCATACAGCGCATGATGCTGAAGCCACAGCCTCCGTAGAACAGGACGTCTTGCAGGTCAAAAGAGCCGGTCACCAAGGCTTCCTGAAGAAAAATCGGAGCAAGCACTTTACAACACTACTCCTGCACCTTGTTATAATTTAAAACAGCATATTTTGGTTGTATTATTTTCTCTTATATATATGTCATACTAGGGCTGCAACTAACTGTTAATTGGATTACTCAGCCGATTATTTTCTTGACTATTCTCTAGGTCTATGAAATGACAGAATGTTTCTCAAAGTCCAAGGTGATGTCTTTAAATGTCTAATCATATTATATAAAAAAGAGAAAAACAGGACATCTCCATAATTGAGATGCTTAAAAGAGCTGTTTTCTTATCAAATGTGCATCCAAAATTACTTTTGACTATTAAACGAGGATTGAAATATGAATACTTTTCTATCAATAGACTTATCGATTAGTCGATTGTGTTAAATTAAATTAAATATAAGTTGAAAAAATGAATTCAACAAATTCTAAATAATAACGTATCTCCATGCTGGTTTTTCTGATTATCTCTTTGAATGTCTTGTTTTATAAAAAAAACTGAAATATTCAGTTTGATATAAAATGGTAAAAAGCTAGCTCATATTATTGAGGGTGAGAAGGTCATCATTATCCGCCTTTTTGATTAAAAGTGAGACGTATCTCCTTTTTTTCAGGCAATCCAGCATTCACTGTTTACGCATCTAAGGCCTGAATGAGCCTCCCTGATGGTTTTTGGTTTAACTCAAACCCCCCCCACTCACCTGCCAGGAGTTATAGGGCTCCAGCTTGATGGAGGCCAGCGCGCTCAGGCCGGCAGCTAAGCACAACCACTTCATCTTGACCAGGGCGACGCTGTAGAGGATGATGCAGTGAGACAGAACCAGAGCCATGTAGGTCCAGCCCATGGTGACCAGGACGGCCAAACCACCGTACACCCCAAAGATCAAGGATCTGTGCTGTGGGTACACAGGCCAGCGTGAGTGTGATAGCATCCTGGGAATACTTGTACTACTCATGAATTCATTTATCACACATGAGGATTGGTGTTAGTATAACACTGTTGCATCTACAATATGGATATAATGGAAAGGTTAAATTGTGGAATAACAACAACTCCATGTTTAAATGGTTTGAATGACACACGTGACAAATGTTATACAATTCACAAGTTTATTAATGTTACCTTACATCCATTTATACCAATCTTCATTGTAAGCATGGAACAAAACAGAAAAACATGTTTAAAACAACTGTGTTAAATATGTCGAATAGACACTCAGCAACATACACCATCGCAGTCAAAGAGAATGCAACCCATGCTCATGCATCAACTCAATTAGGTGTAAGACTTTGGGGTACAAATATACAATATGATCCATTTGTCTTAATAGAATTGTATTGAACTGAACAGATTTTAATGTAGAGCCCATGCCTTACATCAGCACATAGCTTTGCATGCACAATAATATGTATTTACCACATATTGAATGTATGAATGTCTTTTGCTTATTAACGTTGTATTATTTCATGATTTATCTCTGTTGGAATTATGGTAATATTGTTTTGGCAAAAAGACATACTTCTACAATAATATACAATTCATTTATTTTCATACACGACATAAAAATGTGTTGATACATTTTGCATGCATTTTTCTTTACCATCATCATATAGCAACTTCTTCAAATTTAATTCCACAATTTTTTCATACAATATCGGGATATTGATCATTTTCAATCAATCTTTTTTGCCAGGACTTGTTTTTTCTTATTCCCATTGTTACCTATATTGTATTTGATATATTTATTTTAATTTTCTCTTTTCTTCTTTTTTTTTTTCTGAGGTAGAGGGGGTTTGTTACCAGGGTCGTTTTCGTTATGCGCCTGGGGCTTCTTGACTTCACCTGTCACATTTCATATTTTTAAATTTAGATTTCTTGCAGCCTTATGTTTGCGTAAATATTTTAATAAAAAATTCATCTAATTGATTGGTGCAAAGCTTGTGCAATCAAACACACCAAAAAACATGCATGTGTATATAGTACATTCAATACAAATAACATGCCATTATACCTGTATGCAGTCAGATTACCGTGCTATAGCTGATGGACATTCACACACATGCACGCACCTTTGGAGCTAGCAGGCTGAATATCTTTGCAAAGATAACGTGACCGGCGAGAGCGAAAAGGATATGATTGCGGAATGTAGAGAACCACATCATCCATTCGAAGTCTGCAGCATCCTGTGGCAAAGAAGAATTCATCATTAACACGTGACCAACACTCTCTCATTTAACATCCTGCATTAGGAAATCCAATTGTAGAACACATTGAGATACGCAATTTACCATTTTCCTGCCAAAGTAATGCCATCCTGGCTGCACACTTTCTTTGAAGGCCTTCCTGTCTATATTCTCTGAAGGAAAAAACAGAACAAGATTTAGTATTTTATCAACGTGGTATTATATTTTCAACAGAACAATATACAGTATGGTTAAGCTTTAAGGTTTAGAGGAGCTAAATCCAGACTTTGGGCAGCTTCATTTTTGGGTGTCTATGTAATAATCATTTGGAGAATACGGTCCTGCTGGAACGGCTTTGGTGTCACTTTAGGATGATCCTAGTGAATTGTAGGTGCATGAGCCCATTCACTCCATCTGATAACATTACATATTACATAATGCACTAGCTGCAAAGCTTTCTATTTTTGAGTCTGACATCTTCACACTCATGTGGTCATAATCTGGTTGTAGGAGATTAGTTCACTGCACAATCTGAATGAAACGTGAAACACAAAAACCATATTAGATAACAAATATAAGTGTGAAAGCGATCAGAATCATGGCATTGATGTTAATACTTCCTATTCAAGGCAACGCCCCCAGCCACTCCAGCTTTGCCTTGTTACACTAATGGACATGAAAAAAGGATATCAAAATGTGTGGGTCACTCAGGGAAAGCCTCTTACTCCAGGGAACGCAGCCAAGCTTTTATTATGAATGT